AGAATTCAAAAACTCTGTGCCCCAAATAGAGTGCATGCACAAGAAATCTAAATGCCTTTGTAATTCTCTGAGCTCTACCTGAGATACAATGGGAAAGATAAGAGATGATTTTATTGTCATGGTAAATTCATTAAGCACATAAAAGAACTGCCATCCCAAAAGAAAGATAAATGCCCCGGACAGACAGAATGGGTCATAGAAAAACAGCCCATGGCTCCTGAAGGAGCTTAGTATAAGACAGCAGGGGTTCAGAGGCTGGGTTTGAATCTGTCTCTGGGCTGTCTAAGGGCTGTGTGACCTAGGGTGATCTACAAAGCAGCTCTGCCTCAGCTTCCTCAAGTTTAAAAAGCATTAGTAAACGCCTGGCTTGGATCCTGAATGCCCCAATGATGATGGGTTAAGCTAATTAATCTGCAAGATCCCTCAGGCTTGCCCAGAAGCTTGTCTGTTGTATGATTTTTAGAACCCATTGACAACAGTGTGACTCATTACAGACCTCAGCCCTCTACTCTCTCCCTTTTTACCCTTTGACCATGAGGTAAACAACTTTGCTACTTCACACATTCCCAAAATGAAGTACTGTCTCTCCACAGACTAAGCAACAGAGCCATCTTGATGATGACCTGAACCTCCAAACCATGGGCCAGAACAAAACTCTTCTCTTTATATGTTGATTATCTTGGGTATTTCTTTATAGTGATGGAAAACTACCTGAAGTGTGTGGCTCAATGAGTTATAAGAGTCATTAATCTAAATTATGTAAGGCTAGTGGAACCGGTTCCAGCATATGGCATGACTAGCATTATTAGCCATGATTAGAAGAGTCTTAAATTAAACCCTTTCTAATTTGAATAATTAGATGAGGTAATTAAAAACACACATGTTTTAACTGTTTTTAGCACCATGAAGAACTAGATTCAAGTTCTTCTTCCATCATTAATCCTGTATGAAACAACATGTGTCAAAAGTAAGCATCTTTCTGAACAAGGGGGAGCTCATGGACCCCAGACTGATAGCTGGGAAACCAGCATAGTACTGATCCAGACCCCCTGGATGTGGGTGTCAGTTAGGAGGCCTGGGCATTCTATGGGGCCTCTGGCAGTGGATCAGTATTTATCCCTAGTATACGAATGGACTTTGGGAGCCCATTCCACATAGAGGGATACTCTCTCAGTCTAGACACATGAGGGAGGGCCTAGGCTCTGCTCCAAATGATGAGACAGACTTTAAAGATCCCCCATGGAAGGCCTCACCCTCCCTGGGGAGCAGAAAGGGGATGGGAAGGGGTTCAGTGGGAGTGGAGGAGGAGGGGAGGGAGAGGGAACTGGGATTGACATGTAAAACAAGCTAGTTTCTAATTTAAATAAAAAATAGAAAAATTAAGCATCTTATCAGAGGCTAGACTGGGTCAGAGATGCCACACATGAAGTGACTATCACACAATTCAAATAAAAGATAAGTCTGATTTGGACAATTCTGGGCTTGTCTATGGGTGGGGCAAAGAACATGAAGGAAAATGAGAAATTGGAAAAACCCTAAGTATCTGTCAAGAACAACCAGTTGGGAGGCATTGTCATGAAGGATGGCAGGAGAGGCTGGAAGAAAGTAAGGTTGAGCAGAGAACTCAGGAGTGCATTTTGGGATGTGCCTACTTGAAAACCCTGATGCAATATTGGTCCACAGTTGGACATATCAGTCCAAAAGATCAAGGTAGTGTCAGGGGTCAACATATAAGTTGAAGAGATCAATATTTAATGACCTCCCAATATTTGATGAGAGGCGGCTCAAAATGAAGAGAGTAAAAGACCAGGCACTGACACAACCCATCCAAAATTTAGAGATCCAGCAGAAACCTGCACAAAGAAACTGAAAGAAACAGGCAAGGAAATAGACAAAATACCGGGAGTGCGGTGTCATGGAAACCAGGCCAAGGCTGCTTCCTGAAGCAGCTACACTCTGGCTTTGGGGATCAGGCCAGCAGTTCATCTTCAATACAAGAATAACGTTGTTCTTCATCCTAATTTTAAATCAGTTAACTTCGTATCTTATAGGTAATTCCAACTCTATTTTAAAAGTGAATGAGACCTGTTGTAAAAGGCAAAGAAGGAGGAGAGGGAGGAATGCATTTGGGCTGCAGTCTCGCTTTTGTATGCCAAGGACTGATAGACTAGCATCCCACTAAAGAAGGCTTCTTTTCAGTCAGTATAAATATAAAATCACACAAGCCTGCCTAGCTGCCCAAAGCCACTATGGCACAGGACTGATGTAAGGCAGAGGCCATAACCCCAAATCCCCCTGCAGCAAACGGGGCTGCCTGGCTTCTGCTGTATACTTCCACAATTTCCAGCAGCTCTCAGACCCATTTTGGAGCTGAGGGCAGCCAGAAGCTTCACAGATCTGTCCTAATCCGACTGAGCTAAAACAACCACTCTAATTTGCATTTCCAGCTCGATTATTTCTTGCAGAATCAAATTTACTTAGAAATGTAAAGGCTACCCGGATTTGCCATCTGAGAGGGAGGTTGCAAGAACAGGGCACTGGACCACGTGTCATCTGCTGCAGTTGCCAGAGCCCTGAAGACCGGGATAGTGATGCTTATTCAATCCTGGTTCCCTTCATTTGTCTATGCTTCCTGAAGTGAGACCCCCCTGACATGATCACTTTGTTGTTCAGCTGTGTTTCCACCTGAACACCTGTCCTGAGGCCCTGGGTCTGTCGAACTAAAAGAGATTAAGTAGCCTGGGTAGGCGTGCCACTGTCCACCAGGGATTAAGGCCATTTGCTTGCATTTGTGTTACACTTACATTCATGTTTATTGGCCATTCCTTCCAAGATCCCTGGGAGTAGGGGCTCCCTGCTGTCTGCAGGGTTAGGTAAGGTGGAACAACTTGCTGGGAGCTTCGCAGTGTGAAGCAAGGCTGTGCCGGAGCTCCTGTGTGCTGTCTAGCCCGCAAGACATATAGTTCCATTATAAAGCAATTCATCAGCAGACGGCCATGGAGCTGAATATCAGCCAGGAAATTCATACTGCAACTAAAGGGACAAATCCAGCCACCATTACCGCCACCCCTGTTCCTGATAGACTTCCCACGCTGATCTCTCCCCAGGCGTAAGTCTAAGGAGAGAGTACACTGCAAGTTTCCAGTAACAGAGGGAGAATGGTCACCACTCCCCCCCCCACCCTGCCACTCAACACCACAACACACCTCAAACAGCAAAGCCATGGGAGCTTCTAACTGCTTCTTCCTCTTATCAGACAAGAGCTCAGTCTACTTAAATCTCCCTCACTCCCTCAGCACATAGACACACGATGTGGCCAAAATCACATCATGTCTTTAATTTAGATTGTTTATACCCCTGTATCTTTGAAAGCCCTCATCAATTTGGTTTCTCCTCATTTAATTTCTCCTGCTCGGCACATATGGCAAGCTGCGCTTCTGAAGTATTGTTTTCCCTAGGACACATTCTACTCCCTTAGCTCTTAAATAGTACCAATAGGATTTACTATCAAGCAAGTGCATCTTGGACTCATTCAAGTAGGATTAGAACCAATAGAGCTTAATAGCAAGTCTGTCTCACAAGGCAGCCCTATTTCAGTAGTGAGAGCTTGAACACAAAGAGTTTGTCCTCATTTCTATGCTCCCTGGCTATATGATCCTGACAATCAATGAACATCTTCGAGCCCCAGCTGGCTCAGCAACAGATCAGGATAGTGGTAATACATCCCCCAGTATGCCCATGGTACATAGACAACAACATGTCCACATGAGTCACTCAATAAGGGGATGTAAATGCTGGTTTTTTTTACAAATTTCTTAGGTGTTATGAATTCCACCAAAGCCAAATTTAAACATAGCCTGTGAGGATCAGCCAGGGTGACGAATGTAAACTGCCTCTTATGTTGATGACCACACTCCAGTGGTGATTGACAACCGAAGTAGACTGTGGATACACATTTTTCCAGTGATGACAATCGCAGTAGACTGTGGAGACACATTTTATGTCTACTGACAGAAGGATTCCAGGGAACCCTCTACAGCATCGCATGAGAAAACTAAGGCCCCTTCTCAATTACCTAAGATGGCACGTTGTCATAATCTATTCTCAAGACTGTCTCCTTTCCCACCCCACTAAAACTCCATGGCCCTCTGAGTTTGCTAAAGCGTTGCCTTTGAGGTGGAGGCACCGTGAAGAGCAGCGAATGTGCTGAATGGATAATGGAGAGACAGCTGACTGTTAATCGGTATGTACCATGCACCCAGCACTGGTCTCCAGATTTGCATATATTAAGTCCTTTAATTAAGAGATCATGCTGTTTTAAACCCCAGCAGCTGTGGTGCTGGTCATAGCTCGGTCCCTGCTGGCAATTGTGGTCCGTAGGCAAGAGACTGTGTAGTGAGTGAAGTGTGCTTCTCACTCAAGATCAAGTTTCAGACCAGAACCCTGGAACACCAGCACCCGTGCCCCCTGCTCTGCTTGATCTGCCTCTGTTGCCTTATCGTGAAGGAGAGTTCTCTCCCGGGCCATACGATCTGTTTACAAAGCCACAGGGAAGGGATTTTCTGTATTGGAGAAACTGAGAGGCGAATTTTCACCAGAGGCGAAAGCACAGAAGAGAAAGGCTCAGGTTGGATGTGATTCTTTCCAGTACACATCCACCTAGGCCCTGCTGACTCATCCCCATCCTCTTCAGCCACAAAATCGGTCATGCACACTTCCACACTCACACAGGGAGAGGAGTATGGTTCTGACTTCTTGGGGCATAAATTTTGTATCAGCTTCATTAGGCTAACCATCTGGGTCATTTCAATTCCGTTTCTAGCCCCGACATAATTGAAGCATCCGAATCAGCCATTTTCTGCCTCTGCTGCTTCCCACCCCCACCCAAGCTGCACCGGTGGGAAAGTCTGCAGAGAGCTCAGATCCTGCTTGGGGAGCATTACTTAGAGCAAAAGCAAGCCTGTCCCACAGAGGACCATGCATTCCCTCAAAGTACTCACCCTCCTCCTCCTCCGCTGTCCCTGAACTCTCTGAGGTGACTATACTCATAACTGGGACAGCATCCAATGGATAAGATGTGACTCTGTAATTTCATCTGCATCCATTCAAATTGTACTGGAACGGCTGCTGGGCCTTTGGCCTCCTGCTAGCGGCTTAATTTTATTTATGCTGAAGGAAATGATGATGGTTTGGGTTAATATAGTCAATTGCAGGCCCTAATAATTCCCAAGCTTACAAAGGGTAAGTGGCTAATGTATATAGAAATACAGTTATTGGAAGACACTGTCTGTTACAGTCCTTGAGTTGCTGAGTTCTTAAATCGTGGGATCTAAATGGTTGCAGGAAGGGGGAGGAACTCGTGGGAATCCACCGGTGAAACCCCACCACCATGTAAAATGTGTCTTTAAAGATTCAGGCGTGCCTGCTGCTGAGGACCACAACTGGGTCCATGGTCCTGCTACAGCAGTCAGGAGGGATGGCGCCACCCTTCATCATGGGTGTGCACCTCACCTGGGCAGCACACTAGAGCTGACCCTACGGTAGGGGACACAGGTGAGCCAACCCTGAGAGTATGGGGAGAGCTGACTCCACCCCTCCTTGTCTGCCACGTGGCGTCATAGGTGAAAGAAAGATGCCCCCCCCCCGACACACACCCATCATCACCAAAGGCAGTTGAGGGAGCTGGCCCAGGGGTCACAGCGTGGGAGAGCCAGCCCTGACCCTCACTGGCTGCAGCACACAGGAGATCAGGCTCTGCAACCCACCTGGGGAGCTGGCCCTGCTGTGAGGACTCAGCTGAGCCAGCCTTAAGGGTGTCAGAGTAGGAGAGCTGGCCCTGCCTGCCGCCCTCGCCCTCGTATGCCCCCTCAGGAGAGAGGGCCCTGTACCTGGCCTGGGCATAACAGCAGAGCTGGCCCTGGTGGTCTGAGTGTGGGTGAGCCGGATCTGAGGACCTGAGAGCAAAAGAACTGGCCGTTCCCTGCTGCAGGCTGCATTGGGTGAGTTAGCTGAGCAGTGCCGGAGAGCTCGCCGGGGTAGTGACAAAGAGGGAAAGCTGGCAGGCTGAGCAACCCAGCCACCACCCAGGCCAGAACCGGGGCTATGAGTCAGCCCGCCCCAGCATCCACCCCATCTGTGAACTGTTGGAGCATGTGCAGGGGAGGAACCCACAGATCCAAAACAGCAGGATCTCCATGACACAGGACAACAGGATGTCCAAGAGGAGTCTCAGTGAGACTCCGTTATCAGTGACACAGCAGAAGCCAGAGGCCTTAAGCCAGACCAATGACTCTTGGCAATGAACCCTTGCAAGTAAAGATAAATGGACTAAAGGGTAAACTGTGGGACCCAGGGCCGTACAAAACTTCTACATCAGGATTCTTCTCTTTCTCTCTCTCTCTCTCTCTCTCTCTCTCTCTCTCTCTCTCTCTCTCTCTCTCTCTCTCTCTCTCTCTCTGTCTGTCTCCCTCTCTCTCTGTCTCTCTCTCCCTCTCCTCTCTCTCGTTGTTGTTTTGATTTGTTTTTGTCTTTGTTTCTCTGTTTTGTTTTGTTTCTTTGTTTTGTTTGATTTTGGTTTTTCTTGCAAATTTGGTTTTGTTTTGGGGGAGGGGTTGTAAAGGCAGAGAGTGGATTCGAGGGGAAGGGGGATAAATGGGATCAGAGCACAGGATGTGAAATCCACAAACAATCAATAAAAGTTTAAAAGATGGATTTAAGCATGGCAAACTAAAAATGAAAAAGCACTAATATGAGTAAAAAGTTTGTTTTGTTGACTTTGCTGAACTCATTTCTTAAATATTTCTGCCTCCTCATTATGCCTAATTTATTCATTCATCAGGCATTTTATTAATATTTACCTAATATTAATTAATATTTACTAAAATACAAAGCTGTCAGCAAACTAACCACAATTCCTGTCCTCACAGAGCTAATGGCCAAGCAGAAGGTAACACACAGAAAATTAAGAGTTGACGGCTCACTACAGCAACCAAATCGAAAGTGAAGGTCCAAAGCTGCTTAGAGCAGGGACCATCCCAGTGACCCCTGCGGGAAGTTCCTAGAAATGTATAACGAGATCACCTGCCAGGTAAAGAATCGGCCCGAGTAATGGCTAGGAAGTCTATATTCCAGGCAGGGAACATGCAAATGAGCACACTCCATGAGGCTGCAGCAGTCTAGTCTCCTTCCGGGCGCTGGAAGCAATGCGGTGCAGCTGAGTTTTGCGGCATGAAGGAGAAAAAAAATGTGGAAAAGCAGCTGGATCCGTCAGGAGCCTTTACCCCCTGATCTGAGTCCACGATCCTAACGCAGAGAAGATCCCTATTTAGGCTTCTGGAGTTGAGTTCTGCGGAAAAAGAATTGGATAGACACACATCAGAAGCACCTAGCCCAATCCGAGACAAAGTCTGAGAATTCTTGAAAATGAAGACTTGGCACACACGGGTTACTTTCGCACTAATATACTCAAACAACCCAGTTTCAACAAAAGGCGCTGGGAATGCTACACTAAGCATGTTCCACAAGTGTCTCACTGGCTGGTTGCCATGGTAACCGTCCATCCATCTGCAAGAAGTTCTGCTACACTTAGGACCGACCACTACCAAACTTCACCTTCCCAGTCACCACAACCAGGAACCTGCACACAGTGACCTTTCATGCTTGCAAAGTCAAGGGCAGCCAGCTGTGTTAACTGAACTCAGCATCTGGCTTCCAAGGAGCATCCCTGAAAAATCCTGATAGACTTCTGACAAATTACCTAGCCTTCAGCCATCCCACAGGCAGATTCTTGGTACAGGCTTCCTTTTTTCTTTTTCCTTCCTTCCTTCCTTCCTTCCTTCCTCCGTCCCTCACTCCCTTTCCCCCTCTTTCTCTTCCTTTCTTTTATATCTATTCAACACAAAACAATGTCCTCCAACTTCACTGATGCAGCTGACCATGCCCACCCGCTAGGCCACCTCTGAACTGGAATTCAATTGCAGAACCAGCCTCCGTCTCTGTCAATACAGAGCACACAGCGCCTCTTCTGTAGGAGTCTCTGTCCATCTCCCCTCTTGTGAATCCTGCAGGTCCCTCACCCTCCGGACCTCTGGGCAGAGGCCTGTCAGTCTCAGGACCGCTGTGGCGCAGAGTGGCAGCGCTGGTATCCTGAGGTAAGTGGCAGTAACCTCGGAGATACTGAATGCCCTTGTGAGTAAAGAACCAGTAGAAATGTCTCTAGACAAACTGCCCCTTCACATATCTGAGAGACTGCATGGCCTTCTTTCCATGAAGGCTGTGCAAATTCTTATCTGCCAGCTCAGGGTGCTGGGGCATTTGGACATCTTTCTCAGTACCCATCATGTCCTTCTTAAATAGGAGTCCACAGGCCGCAGACTGGTTCTTCTTAGGCATCGGCACTGGCAGCTGCCCGAGGTGGAGGCTGGAAAGGAGGGCCCTTTGCACAGGTTTTGAGCCGTGGCAAGCTTCTGTGTGGAAGTGACTCCCTGCTTTACAAGCTTCCCACTTACGCCGTAACAGAATACCACAGACTGGGTAATTTACAACGACGTCTACCTCTTATTGCTCTCGAGGCTGGACTGTCCAGCATCCATGTACTGCTAGCATCGGTCTGGTCAGTTGCAGAATCAAAGCATAAAGCATAGCAAAGGGCATTACACGGCAAAAGTGGTCACTTCGGTAATAAAACTGCTCCTGTCAGAGCCAATATCATCCCACAACATCAGCACCAAACCACTCCTGAGGGCAAACGCCCATGTCCCAAAAGTGTCACCATGCCAATTTCAACATGAGCTTTGGAGGGTACATTCAAACCACGCACATGGAATAAAAAAGAAGCAACACTCGCTTGCCAGTCGCCCACCATGAACATAAAGACCGGCTCAGGGGCTAACAAAATGAGGGCAGTCTCGCAATCTCAAGCAGTGATGGTGAGGACATTGCCAGTTCACTAAGTCACGTAGGACTTGGCTAACGGCCAGGTGAAGAGGGAGAAACTACGAAGAATTATTTTATTGTGCCATGTACGCAAAGGAATATCACTTGGCCATAAAAAAGAATGAAATCTTTTCTGTCAGTTGCAGCATTGTGAATAGAACTGTAGGACATGCAGCAGCTTGAGACAGGCACAGGAAAACACATCAGTGATCTAAGCACTGAGGAGGCTGAGGCTGGATTACAAGGCCAAGGCCAGCCCGAGGTACACAGGAGTGCTACGCCAGCTCAGCGACAGACTGAGAGCCTGTTCTGACAGAACAATAAAAACGAGAATATTGCACATGATTGCAAATGAGTTATTGCTCATTTGTGGAAACCAAAAATTCCATACATAGAAAGTAGAGTGAATTTCCACTAGAGACTGGAAAAGGAACAGCAAACCACAGCTGGATGGGGAACTGGTTCCAATGTATAGTAGAGCAGAGTAGCCACAGCATGCAACAACTTACTACATGTGTCAAAGTAGCTAGGAAAGTTGCAAGTTTTCTGATACATAGAAATGATAGCATTCAAAAGCAAGTGTGGTGGTTCACCTGTAATCCCAGCACCTGGGAAGCTGAGGCAGGAGAACTTCCATGAGTTTCAGTCATCCTAGGCTACAAAATAAGTAGCAAGGCAACCTAGGCTGCTGAGTGCAATTCCTGTCTCCAAAAACTGGGGGAGGAGGGCTGGAAAGAGGGCTCAAAAGCACACACTGCTCTTGCAAAGGACCTGAGTTGAGTTCCCAGAACCCACGTTGGGCACTTCACGATCACCTTTAACTATAGCTCCCTTATTGGATTCTATGGCACCCACACTCACATGGGCAAATACCCACATGCATGTAAATGTGATTTAAAATAAAATAAATATTTTTAAGAGGATCATGCTTCAGACTAGGTCTGTAGCCTGGTGGTCAACTGGTTGCCTAGAATGAAAAGGATTTGGGTGTACTGAGTTCTCTGCACTAGTGGGGGAAGAATATAAATGGGAATACTTGAGGAGATTTAAGGAATAATTCCCCTGATCTTTATTTGATCAATACACATTCTATACATATACCGCATTTTAATACCATATCTTTTTAATAAGAATAAATATCAACTGAAATCTTTAAAATTTATATTTTTAAATAAAGACTTGGCCACTGTGTCAGTCAGCTTTCTTTCATGGTGACAAATGCCTGACGTAATAAACTTCTAAAGAAGTGCAGATGGGGCTGAGGAGAGGGCTTTGGAAGAGTATTCACAGCTCAAGCATGAAGCCTTGAGTTCAGATTCCCAGTGCTCACAGGAAAGCTGGACATGGTAGCATTCATCTGTAACCCCAGCTCCAGGGAGGGCAGAAACAGACAGCTCCCAAGATCTTGACAGTCAGCCAACCTAGTCTAATCAGTGAGCTTCAGATTCAAGAGACAGCTCACAAGGTGTAAGGTGGAAAGTAGCAGGGGAATATTAAAAAGAATGCTGTTATCATGGTGGCATGTAAAATTATATATAAATAGATTTTCTCTATTATGAAATTTGGGAATAATGCAATCTAATTTTCTTTAAGTTCATTTATTATGTCTCATAAGCTTCTAGGTGAGCTAGATAGTTCTGAAGTCATCTGTGCTCTGTGATCAGCTGGTACTTCTGACAGTCAGGGGCCTCACACTCAGAACTTCTGTCTGTGCAGACCACTCGGTCTGATGAATCTGGGGGCTTTCTCCGCTGCCTGTGTAGCAGGCTTGCCCAGACTTGTAACACAAGTCTTAGGTTAAAGGAGAAGAAGAGAGGGCACGCCAAAGGGCTCACCTTGGTTATGTGATCATCCCTTGTCTGTATTTGAATTTATGTCCTCTGATCTATGCCAAAAAAAATCTTTGAGTGCCTGGTTTTTGTTTTTGTTTTTGTTTTTTACTTAAAGCAATAAACAGAATTATGAAAAACATCTCATTGGGCTAAACTCAAAGTGTTGACAGAGTTATATCTGTTCTGGGGTTTCAATAGGGTCATCCCTGTCCTTGTTTTTTCTAGCACCTAGATGTTTGCTGTGTTTCTTTTCTTCTTCC